GTCATTCACAAACCCAATTATGTGCAGGTAGAATGTCAACTCTGAGAATGAAACCAATGCATGCTTTATATGGCTGGATTTTTTTTTTTTTTTAAATGAAATCCTGCTTTACTAGCAAGTTCTATTTTCATAAATGTCTATTTTTTTTTTAAAGCCAAATCGTATATTTCCCCACGCACTCCTGAAAAGCTTTAATCAGTGTGGAGAGAGAGAGCTGTTGGGTGTTGGTATGTGCATTTTGCTAAGAGGGGGACAGAGACGTGAGATCAAGAGAAATCCTCTTGGCTTTACCTCTGACCCTCTGCTCCTCTCGGAGCATCTGGGCCTTGGCTTCCCCATCTGTAAACAGAGGTTATTAAATTAGTCTTTCCAAAGGCTGTCGTAGAAGCACTCAAAGGTTGAAAATGCTTTGCAAATAAAAATGCTTGGCCACCGGAGTGCCTGTTAATTATAAATGAGGAGTGGAAGGCAGACAGCGGGAAGGGAAAATACATAAGGTGCTCATGGTTTTGATTTACCATTTTTCTTTTCTTTCCTCCCTGCCCCCCTTTGTTTTTGATTTTTCTGTATGTGTTTGTTGTTCAGGAGTAAAAGGGTATTCTGTGGTCGGAATCAAGTGTGCCTTCCACAGGTAATTGTTTGGGTTCAGGGGTCAGAGAGATCCTACTTTGAATCTCTGTTCTGCTCTCTATTTAGGGTTTACTTTGAACATGTTGCTTAACCTCTCTGAGCCTGGTTTTCTTCTCTGGAGAGTGGAGATGATATTTTCTTTCTTGGAGGACTCGTGTGCCAATCTGGGCTTGTGTGTGTGACGTCTCAGAAAGTCAAATGTTGTGCATTCTGCTCCTGTATGCCCCCACCCCAATCCTGCCTCGCCTTTCTTGTTTTCCTTTAATAGGCCTGTAATGTACTTTATGATTGAGTGTTTTTTTGTGTTTATTGCTTATTGCATGTTTCTCCCGCTCTGAGAATATAGGTTCCATGAGGGCAAGGGTCTTTGTTTTGATTAGGTCTCCCGAGTGCCTAGAACAGTGCCTGGCCATGGCAGGTGTTTGATGGTCGTTTATCAAATGACTAATAGGGCCCTTAGCCCTTTCTCCTTTCTCTCTTCTGTTCTTGGTTTTACTCAGTGAGGCTCCTTCTGGATCTGGTCTGTAATTCTGTGTTTTGCTTTCTTCTTGTCTTTTCCCTTCTTCTGGAGCTTCAGTTCATTAGATTATGTCCATCCAGCATTAAATATTGTGCTCTTCCCTGCATTGGTGAATAAATGAGTTGCACTGATGAATATTCTGGAGACTGAATTTGGTAAAAATGTGTCTACATTTTTTTTTTAAAGTATGACTTTCTAGCAAAAACCATTAGTCACTGAAGAGCTTCCTAAACTTGCTTAAACACACTGAAACTTTTTTTCCTTAAGTCATAACCTGGCATAAAAAATTCTGGAGGGAAAAAAATCTAACCGCTTCCCAACACCCCTGACTTCTTTACAGTAGCTGATTAATTAAAGAGTTACTGTTAAAATGAGCTCTATTTTTAAAAGCAACAGCCAGAGTTTGGATGAAACTTCTTTGAGTTTGGAGATGCAAACCAGATCCAAGTGTGCATTCTGTCTGTGTATATTTTCAGTCTGATGGAAAGCAGGAAGTGGGAGAATCTGAAAAGCCTAGCTTGGCTGGACTAAATTGATTTTGTTTCTTCAAGTGCATTTTGGTGTCAAAATTCAGGCACAAGACATTAACAGAACAGGGACAAAAACCAACTGATCGTTTCAATAGATGCAAAAAAAAAAAACAAAACATTTGACGAGGTCCAACACCCTTTTGTGATAAAAACACTCAACAAACTAGCATAGAAGGAAAGTTCTTCAGCTTAATAAAGGGCATCTACAAAAAACCCACAGCTAAATAATACTTGATGGTGAAAGATTAGATGCTTTCCTTTAAGATCAGGAACAAGATAAGGATGTCCACACTTGTCACTTCTATTCACTATCATACTGGAAATCCTAGCCAGGGCAATAAGGCAAGGCAAGGAAATAAAAGACATCATATTGATAAGGAAGGAATAAAACTATTTCTATTCACAGATGACATGATCTTATGTATAGGAAATCCTCATGAATACACACACACACTGTTAGAACTAATAAATTAAGTTCAGCAAGTTTCTATTATACAAAATCAATGCACAAAAATCATTTGTGTTTTTATACACTAACAATCTGAAAATGAAATTAAGCAAATAATCCCACTTACAATACTGTCAAAAAGAATAAAATACTTAGGAATAAACTTGACAAAAGATGTGCAAAACTTGTACCTGAAAACCACAAACTGTCATTGAAAGAAATTAAAGTAGACTGAAATAAATGAAATGACATCTTTTGTTCACCGATTGGAAGACTTAATATTGTTAAGATAGCAACACTTTGCAAATTGTTCTGCAGACTCAGTGCAATCCCTGTCAAAATCCCAGCTGGATTTTTTTGCAGAAATTGGCAAGGTAATCCTGACATTCATAGTTATGATGCAAATGCCAAGGACTCAGTAGAGCCAAAACAATTTTTTAAAAGAAAAACAAAGTTGGAAGACTCACACTTCACGATTTCAAAACTTACTATAAAACCACAGTGTGGTACTGGCATAAGGATAGACATACAGACCAATGGAATAGAATGGAGAGTCCAGAATAAATCCTTACCTTTATGATCAATTGATTTTTGACAAGGGTGCCAAGACAATTCAATAGTGAAAGAATAGACTTTTCAACAAATGGTGCTGGGGTAATTAGGTGGCCACATGAGAATGAAGTGGACTCCTACCTCACACCATATACAAAAATTAACTCAAAATGGATCATAGACCCAAATGTAAGAGGTAAAACCATAGATTCTTAGAGGAAAATGTGGGTAAATCTTTATGACCTTGGGTCAGGCAATACTTTCTTAGATATGATACCAAAAGCACAAGCAACAACAGAAAAAAAATAAATTGAACTTCATTGAAATAAAAAACTTTTGTGTTTCAAAAGACATCATCAAGATTGTGAAGACAACCCACAGAATGGGAGAAAATTTTTATGTCATATATCTGATAAAGACTTATAGCCAGAAAATATGTAAAGAATGCTTTCAATTCAACAATAAAAAGACAAATAATTAAAAAATGGACTAAAGATTTGAAAAGATGTTTCTCCAAAGAAGATATATAATAAGCACATAAAAAGATTCTCAACATCATTAGCCATTAAGAAAGTGCAAATCAAAATCACAGTAAGATACCACTTCACACCCACTAGAATGGCAACAATCAAAAAGAAAGATAAAAACAAGTGGCAAGGATGTGGAGAAAATGAAACACTTGTTCATTGATGATGAGATTGTAAAATATTGTAGATATTTTGGAAAACAGTTTGACAGTTCCTCAAAATATCAAATATAAAGTTACCATCGGACCCAGAAATTCCATTCTAGGTATATACCCAAGAGAATTGAAAACATATGTCCATCCAAAAAACTTTACATAAATATTCAGAGCAGCATTATTCACAAAAGCTAAAAAGTGAAAACAATCCAAATGTCCACCCACTGATGAATGGATAAACAAAATGAAGTGTATCCATACAATGGAATATTATAATGCGATAAAAGGAAATGAAGGATTGACATATGGTGTAGCATGGATTTACCTTGAAAACATCATGCTGTGTGAAAGAAGCGTTTCAAAAGACTACATATAGTATGATTCCATTTATATGAAATTTCCAAAATAGGCAAAACCATAGCGACAGAAAACAGATTAGTGTTTGTCAGGGCGTTGGGGGAGGGGAATGTGGGAAGTTACTGCTAATGCACCTGGGATTTCTTCCGGGGGGATGAAAATGTTCCGAAATTAGATTGTTGTGATGGTTTTACAATTCTGTGGATACACCAAAACCTAGTGAATTGTACAATTTAAAATGGTGAATTTTATGGTATGTGAATTATGTCTTAGAGCTGTTATCAAAAAATTCCAGCACATATGGGGATTAGGATTCTGGGCTGTCTTCATGGCCTTTATAAGGTACTACTGAAACTAATCATAAAGATCAGAGTACATGTAGAACAGTTTATTTTCTTAAAATTTTCCTCCCCCATTTTTTTCTTCTCGTTTTATTTTATTGGTGGAAGCTAGAAATGCTTTTGTGTTGCTGACATCAACAATTTTAGTGCTTCATCATTTTTGTAGCCATGGAAAAGGGAACAGATGGTAACCTTAAAAGAGAAATGTTCAATTTTGGGGAGAGATTTTTATCTTTGGCTGCTGCCTTTTGAAATAATTCACATGCATAATCCTCTTATGTATAAAAAAAAAACTACCAGCGTAGGGAAATTTTGGGTTTCTAATTAGAATTTCAAACTTCCAAGATCTTTAGTGGAGGTGAAAATGTCTTTCCCATGAGATCTTAGGGCCAGATTTGTTTAGTGGGGGAAAAATATTTTTGTTCTTCTTAAAGAAAATCTCACCCACAGTTCTTTTTAAAACCACTTCCGTTTTCAAAGGTCTAGGAACCTTTTATAAAAATGGTATATTGTCAGTATTTGTTAAATCTACTGGTAATATTTCTGGTCAGCATATGTATTATGTCTATTTAATTACTGTTACAGTCAAGGAAATTGTGGTCGTGGTCCATATCCAGTGTTATACCTAGTAAAATAAAAGACATTTTGACATTTCTCTTGGTGTATTGATTTAGAAGAAAAGCTTGGGATCCATGTTTAAACTTAAACATCCTTAGCTTGCCTGAGGGCCTCTGACCTTTCACGATGTTTCCACATGCGCGTGCCACACCTTCTACAAAGACAGGCGTGCTGTGGAACGCTCCTTTAGAAGCTCATGCCAAAAGCCAGTTGCCAAGGAATGTGTTTATGGTTTGGGATCCAAAGGCTGGTGACTGGCAGGCCAAGTGAAAAAATGGTTTCTTTTGCCTTCCTTCTCACCTACGACCTTTGCTGCTTGCAGGAAGATCTGCCTGCACTGCAAGTGCCCTCAGGAGGAGCACATGGTGACAGTGATGCCCCTGGAGATGGAGAAGACTGTCAGCAAACTCATGTTTGACTTCCAGAGGAACTCGACCTCGGACGACGACTCAGGCTGCGCCTTGGAGGAGTATGCCTGGGTCCCGCCGGGGCTGAAGCCTGAACAGGTACCGTTCTTGACATGAGGGCGATTGTGGTTTTGGCTTTTACCTTTGTCTTGCTCATCCTTCCTCATTCCAGTTCAGAAGGAAGAGTTGACTTTGCTGATTCAGAGGAGTAGCTGGGGCTATGTGGGTTGAAGATGTCAGGCCCCAATGGGAAATGAGGAAGAGAAATGAAACTGAGCCTTGCATCATGGGCCATTGTTAATTCATTCTATATTGCCATTATTCACCGTCAACAGAAGATTGTCTAGAAACATCTCAGAAATGTTGGCTTTGAAACATTAGATAGGGAAACTTCATTTTTGGAGTGGGGAGGGGAGTTCTACATGGGCCATGAATCTTAATGTTAAGATTCTTTGTAAAGCAGAGTGAGGAAATATGGATTTGCCTTATTCTTCCAGTGATATATGCTGTGTTTAAATATTGTTTGGCCTTGCTTTACAAAGAAAGACATTGGCATTTCCTGAAATATTTTGGCACTACCCAGAGGCTGTAAATATTGATGGCTCGATTAGATGAACTTGGTTTCTTTCTGTTTCACTGCATTTTTCTCAATGATATATAGCCTCTGCTTTGCATTTCTTGGTACGTGAAGTTTTCTCTTCCACTAGCCTCCTGTTAGTTTAGGAGCCCCTTCTGTAAGCTGGACATTTTCATGATCTGCCCTGTACGTCTTTGAGAGACAAGTTTATCAGAATCTTAAGTGGTTGACCACTATTCCCTTCCTCTGACAGAAAATTTCTTTCTCTGAAAATCTTCTGTATGTCTGACAGAATGTTTTGAAGCTTAAAAGCCCTGAAATTTTAAGTCAGGAACTTTGGGTATGATAATGCTTTTAGAAAAAGTTTTTTATGATTAAGGAAGGTCTAAGAATTCACCAATAACTTAAGGGTGGGACCCTATTAACATTTCTTTGATTAGCCATTTCTCCTTTTTCTTCTTCCAACATTGAGGTGGCAGACTGGCAGATGAAATCGAACACATGGGCAGGATTTGTTCAGGCAGCAAAGTATTGTTTAAAATTTTGAATTAGTTACTAATACTTAAAAACTAGGAATTTTTATTTAAAAGTTCATATTCATATCTTGAAAATTTGAGGATCCGGAATCTCATTTCTGCCAGGATGGGTGTACTGGCCCTTGAGTTGAGTGCTGGCCATTCATTTTAGACAGAGTTGATCTCTCTAAGTGAGCTGGTCTGCACTAAGCCCACTTCATCTTTTTGTGGTACCTTCCTAAGCCCTCCAGGCACTTCACTTTTGTGATCTCTATTCTAATTCTTACTGCTGAGAAAATATCTTAGAATGGAAACATTCACGGAAAATAACCTCCATGAGAATGGAAGGGAGTCTTGTGTTGGGTTAGTAGCAGGAAGAAATAAGATTGTTTCTTCTCAGTTTGTAAGTTAAGGTTATATCTTTATTTTCTTCTGTTTCAGTAAAGATTATACTATTAAAAAAATAAGTTTAAGAAGAATAAGAGTATTTGATTGAATTTGGAAACTCAAATGAGGTGGTAGGTGACTGAATATCTTTGTTTGACATCACCTTTTTACTGCCGGTACTTGAGCAATGAGTTTTTACACCTAGATACATCTGTGAGCTTGTTTCATTTTCTTGCTAACCTCATTTCCAGCAGCTTCTAAGAGACCCGTCTTTCTTTTGTTCACATTGCTTCCTGCTAAATTGGACCTTGAAATTTCAAAGTTAAGCTATTTTCAGTTTCCTGCTTAGGTAGATTCTTCTCTAAGACCATTAAACATCATTCTATGATGTTCAGATTCAGAGAAAATTTTCTATTGGCCCAAGAGAGCAGACAGTTGCAGAAGCTAGGGCCGTGGTTAAATTCACCAACTGCAAAAATGAGTGCTTATGTTATTTTTGGAGGCCCCTTGACTCATCCAAAATGAACGTCTTTGGGAAACGTAAAACAATTTTCTTTGATTTATTTTGAAGGAAAAATGATTAATGCTATTAAACAAGTGGTTTGAATTATGTCAGATGAAAGGATATTCCTGTCTCTTATAATTGTATTGTTCTTTGAATGTTTTTCTCTATTCCCTACACTTACTCAAATCTATATGACACAGATGATTAGAATGGGAAATTGTCCTCCAGAGAGAGACTATCTCTTCAAGCTATTTGCAGGGCTCTATATTTGCCTAATAAAATATGATCTGTATTAAAGGTGTTTGAAGGGATCATGTTGCATGAAAGAAATGGGCTTCAAATTTTTAAACTATGAGATCTCTTGAAGTCTATTACTTGAACTGTTTATAGATTTAAAGATTTTTTAAAAGCTATCTAGTGTGTTCTAAGATGAGAAAAATTTGAGACCCTAAATGCTTTTCACTAATAAAAATTCTGATGTTTAATATCGTGTTAGTTGTCTCTGATTTGAGCAAAACCATTTTTCTATCCAGAGAAATTATAGTGAACATTAAAATGCTTTGTGCTGGAGGCAAAATACTGAAGACTAGTTAGGGTTGAGAGTGATGTGCTTTCATTTTTGTTGGAAACCTTTCGTTTTGCTCCCTGATTGTGGTGTTGGTAATGTGCCTTCAGGTGACACTCTTTATGATTCTATTCCTTCTGAGAAATGCCTTCAATTAAATATAATGCAAGGGAAAGTCATCTCCCATTTAGGGAGGGGTTCTTGAATATGGGCATTTAATTTCATAAAAATTTACTAGCTGTAAAACCCAACCTTCTTAAAATAATTTGAAAAATGATAAATATAACAGATGATGCCAGAAAGGAAAGGCATTTATGTTGTGATTTTTAATGACTGGACTGAAAAATAATCAGAGAGGTTGCTCAGATCCTTTGCCTCTGCTCCCTCCAAATAAGGTGTTTAATGTCATCCAGAGAGCCCTGCGGTGGCAGAACAGAGAACTGGAGTCTGCCCTGACTGACTGTCTGAAGTCATCTATAAGGCTCCACTGTCTCTTCAGATTCAAACAGTTAACAGTATGTGCCCTGCCTCCTAGAGATCCTATGGTGATAAATTTACAGTAGATAATACTTCAGGAAGAATTTGAAAAATACTTAATAAGCTATAAGAAAGGCAAATGGTGAGCAGGGTTTCTCTACCTCAGCACTGTTGACATTTTGGGATGGATAATTCTTTGCTGTTGGCGCTGTGCAGTATAGGATGATTAGCAGCATCCCTGTCCTCTACCCACTTGGGGCCAATAGCATACCCCCCTTCTACATTGGGATAACCAAACATGTCTCCAGACATTGCCCAATGTCCCTGGGGGGTGGGTTGGGCACCCCACTTAAGAATCACTGAGTGAAAGTGATGTTAAAACCTGGAGGATCTGTCAGCAAAATTCTGGCCCAATCAAGACCAAAAAGGATGACTCAATTCAGCAAACATTTATTTGAGCACCTACCATGTGCTAGCTCCAGTGTGAGAGCTGCTGCCTTGTAATGTGGTCAAGTGTTTGGCAGGGTGAAAAGTGGTGATCCCATGCTGCCTGAGCAGAGGCCAGTGCTCTCTGAGGCAGATCCTGTCAAAACACGAACTGGAGTGGCGTGAGGAGCAGGCGGCAGGTGGGTCACCTTTTGTTCTCCAAAACAGAAGTCACTTTTTCCTTTTCTGTAGGGAAGAATGACTCATTGAGAAAAAAAGAAAAGAAAATATGAGACATCTAAGAAAGCAGATGAAAATCACTCATAATTCCACCAATCAAGGAAAATTGTTTTCCACCCTTTTTTGCATGCATGTAGCAAGTATCTATGTATAGGAGTCATTTCTGTTTTCTTTTGGACAAAAATGTGATGATGCTTTCCACTTATCCTGACTTTTTTTTCGCTTTGAAATGGGTATATACTTCTCCAGTGGTAGTTCTAACCTGGTGTGGTACCACCCACCACTAGGGGGCATTTAGAAATGTATGGTTGGGAGGGGGAAGTTATTGTCAAAATGACTGAGGGACTCGGCTAGCAGTTAATAGGCAGGGGCTTGGGATGCTAAATATCCTGAGACGTACCAGACGATCCTGTACAAAGGAGAACTGACCTCTCCCAAATGCCAAGAGTATCAGCATGAGCTGAAGGTGTAGTTTTGAACATGCATGTTGTTGGCAGCTCTCCTCTATGTTAAATAAGGTGGCAGCATCCAACCATCCTGTACACTTAACCTGCTCCTCTTCTTAAGAACGATTCCTAGAGGTGGAGTGGTCACTTGTAAACCTCCTTAAGGCTTCTGATTCGTTGTGCCAAATTGCCCTCCAGAAAAATTGTAACTGTTGCATCCTCTGGGTGGATAGCCTGCACTGGGTACCTGTAGATATGGGTTTTCTATTAGTTCTTCTACTCACTGCTCCATGAAAATCTGATGAGACCATCACGTTGCTTCTCCTGAATAAATGTCCTTTTCATCGATGTTGCGGATACCCCAAGTGTCCATGGAGGGTTCTCAAATGTGAATGTTCCCAAATCTCTGGTCTCCAAACGTTAGTAATTTTACCTTTACCTTGACTGTATTTATGCACATAAAGAGTGGCGATTAGGTTATTCGTTCAGAACTCTCAACTTTCACTTCAAACTATCACAGGAAGGATGAAGAGTAGATACCAGGAGTAATTGCCCAATTTTTGGCTTTCAAAGTATTCTTCCATATGTGGCAAAATAGACCATCCAATACTACCTAGAGGTGGGGGTGAATTAGTTGGTTTTGAGCCCTGTGAAACCCTAAAATATCTCTGTTGGGGGATACATAAAATTCTTTATTTGGCTTTTAATTTAGTGACTATTACTCATCTATCAGGTGTCAGATTAAATGCATTTCCTCAAGGAGCTTCTCTGGCCACCTCCCACTCCCAATACGAGATTAGGTCCCCAGTTTCATGCCTTCATTGCCTTATAGCAATCCCCATAATTTTCCTTATTAGCGCTTATCAATCCTATAATTCGATATTTATTGGTATAATTATTTGTTTAATATTTGGCTCCCCACTTTGCTTTAAGATGCAGGAGGGCAGGGATCTTGTCTGCT